AGAAGTAATGTATTTGCCGTATTGGTGAAGCTGACAACTTGTACATTTATTATTCATTCAACCAATGGTGCCTTAAGCCCCCACTATGAGCCTAGTCACTGTTCAAGTCACTGGGGATAAGAGGAATATTTCTGCCCCATGGAGCATGTGTTCGGTTGGGGGAGCCATTCCAGAAACACGATAAAGGAGTAGACAATGTAAGTGTGTTAGGGAATGTGGGATGTGGGAAGGAGACAAAAAATGAGGCCCAAAAGGGGGCTGCGTGAGGGACAGTGTGAAATTTTAGAGGAGGCCAGGGAGTGTCTCTCTGTGCTGCAGCTTTTGAGTGAAGGCTTTAGAGAAGTGAAGGAGCAACCTTGCAGAAATTGGGGAAGGAGCCTTCCAGGCGGAAGAAGCTGCAAGTGAGGAAGGAACTAACTACAAGTGACCAGTGTCTGAGGGACACCGTGTTCCTGGGGTGTGACTGCAGTGGAGGCAATGGGAGGAAGGGGGTGTGCTGGGGGCAGGAGGGGTGGGGGAGAAGAGGAGGAGACAGGCAGAGTCCTGGGACACAGACCACACACCTCCTCAGAGGGCACGGAAAGGACTTGCACGCTTACTGTGGGTGAGATGGGGAACTAGTGGAGGGTTTGGAGCACTTCAGTTTGAACTGATAATTCTATTCAGACGGTGGCTGAGGCCCTAACCTGTTTGGCTCAGTGGATAGAGCATTGGCTCAGACTGAAGGGTTCCAGGTTCCATTATGGCCAAGGGCATGCACCTTGGTTGTGGACTCGATCCCCAGAAGGGGGCATGCAGGAGGCAGCTGATGGATGTTTCTAACTCTCTATCCTTCTCCCTTCCTCTCTGTAAAATCAATGAAATATATTTTTTTTAAAAGAAAAGAAAAGAAAGGTGTGGCTGAGGACAAGTGAAGAAGCAGAAAGACCCGACGGGAGGCATTTGCAAATGAGCCGGGCAGGAGAGGGTGGTGGCTGGCACCAGGCTAGTAGCTGGGAGGTGGTGGGAAGGGATAGGATTTCAGATGTGTTTTGGAGGTGGAACTGATGGCAGTTGTGATGGACAGAATGTGAGAAAACTTAGGGAGGCCTGGAAGGTTTCAATCTGAGAACCTGAAAGGATGAAGGAGCTGGTGTGGAGGGGATCACAGAAATGTAGTTTTGGACACAAAGTTTGATCCAAATGGAGAGTTCAAGGATTTTGTCTGGAAATGATAATAACTACTGAGCTCTGTTTGAGAACTACTTTTGTGCTGAGCACTTCTCCAGGTTTTTTGTTATTATTAACTTAATCCTCCTATGAGGTACGTACTATTTTTAGCCCCATTTTACAGGTTAACAGGCAGAAGAACAGATGGATTAAGTAACTTGCCCCAGGCTATAGGGCCAGATTCAAGATCCTTGTACTTAAGGTACCCCATAGGAGAGGGAGAGGCAGATTTCTATGTTTCATCCCTTTTTTTCTTGCCGGATGGATGGGGCCGGGAAGCACTGGGATGAGGGCAACATGTTGCTACCAAAGGCCCACCCCAGAGAGAAGAGTTCAGGCTCAGCACTTCAACTCTTTTGTTGCCTGAGGGTATTCAGTCCAGAACCTAAATAGAAGGATTCATCCAAGATTGCTAAGTGGATAATTAACGTTCATTAGACCAAATGAGAACAGACTGTGAGACGGAGGGACTGCGCCTCTCCCAGCTGCATTACTCTGTGTTTCTCTTTCAAGGGAAATATTACCATGTTATCTAAGAAATGTGAAGACCTAATGTGAAAATGTAAATAATCTGAATAGCTTTCTTTCTAAGTCATTGGAATCTTTTGATATGTGGTTTTAATAAACCTTAACTATTTTAAGGAACATATTTTCAATGTATATACAATTTTTATTTTTTAATAAAAGGAATCTATTTTAAATGTATATTAAATTATAAAGAACAATAGTTCAACCCAATACCCAGTTTAATAAATAGAACGTTGTCATCACCCTCTTCCCTCCCTCCGCATCACCACTTTTCTGTTCTGGGTTTTGCGTTAATAATCGCATTACTTAAGATTTCTAACAGTTATACTAGCTGCACATGTATTAAGAATGATATAATTGAATTTCACCTGTTTTTGAACTTTATATAAGTGGAATACTATTGTATGTATTATTTCATGGCTTGCTTTTTTTAACACAACATTCTGGGAGATTTTTCCATGTTTTTACCTGTAATGATAGTTCCCTTGGTTTTCATTGCTGTGATTCCATTTTATTAATATCCCACAGTTCATCTTTCGGTTCTATTATTGGTGGATATTTGAGTTGTTTCTACTTTTCTGGGAATTAAGAATGCGCTTCTTTGAGCATTCCTTTTGTATGATTTTTGTTTTTTTTTCTGGAAGGAGTCTAAACATAAACCCTGGTGAACATGTGTAAGTAGTTCTCTTGTATAAAAAAGTTGGAGGGGCCCTAGCCAGTTTGGTTCAGTGGATAGAGTTTTGGCCTGGGATTCGATTTCAGTCAAGGGTACATACCTTGGTTGCAGGCTTCTCCCTGACCTGAGCCCTGGTCAGGGCTCGGGCAGGAGGCAAGCAATCCATATGTTTCCCTCACATTGATATTTCTCTCTTTTTTCCCCTCACTCTCCCTAAGCCTTAGGGCCTAAGGGGAAAAAAATACCTTTGGGTAAGGATTAACAACAACAACAACAATAAAAAGTTGGAGGGAAATTACTGTGCTGTAGGATATGTTTATTTTTAATTTTATCAGATAACACCAATTTATCTCCATTAGCCATCCTATATAATAAAAGGCTAATATGCAAATTGCCCCCTCGAAAGTTCAACCAAGAGACTAGGAGTTTGATCGATTGCTATGATGTGCTCTGACCACCAGGGGATGGTGTGGAACATGGTAGGTGACCAACAGCAGCAGTAGGGTGCTGAGGGATCGAGGGAAGGAGTGGGTGGGGAGGCCCGGAGGTAGGGAATCATATGGGCCCTGATCGCTGGCCAGGCCTAGGGACCCCACCTGTGCACGAATTTCATACACCAGGCCTCTAGTATATATAAAAGAGGCTTCAGCCTCACTTGCTCTCTTACACTTGGAATTGTCATTTCTATTTTTGTCACAGGGAGGTAAGGAGATAGAAAAGGGAGATAAGGAGAATGGTATTTCATGTGGTTTTAATTTGCATTTCTTAGATTACTAATGAGGTGGAGCATCTATTTTTTTCCATTTGGATTTTTTCATAAAATGCCTATTCAAGTATATTCTTGTTGGGGCTTCTCCCTTTTTTTCTTGCTGATTTCTAGGAGTTTCTTGTGGATTTAATGAATGGCAGATATTATCTCCTACCTGTGGGTGGTCTTTTCACTTTCTTTATGGTGCCTTTTTTAGTTCTGGTTATTAATCCTCACCCATTTTTTCCACTCACTTTTTAAAAATTTTTATAGAGAGTGGGAGGAAGAGATAGAAGAAGAGAGGAAGAGAGGGGAATGGGGGGGAGAGACAAAGAGAAAGAGAGAGAGAGAGAGAGAGAGAGAGAGAGAGAGAGAGAGAGAGAGAGAGAGAGAGAAACATCAGTTGCCTCTCAAACGTGCCCTGACCCTTTGGTGCACAGGATGATGCTCCAACCAACTGAGCCGCCTGGCCAGTGCTTATAGAGTTTTGCTGTCTACTAGTGGAGTTGTTTGGTTACCCTGCTTGTGATACCTTGGGATTTCTAATCTGAGAAGTAAAATTTTTAATAAATTCTTAGCCAACATTTTCCCAAATATTGCCACTGCAAACGTGGGAAGATTTAATATTTAAACCCTTGAACAAAGGAATTCTCGCGTCTCTGTCTCTTGCTGCTCGCACCTGACTCCTGGCTGATGGGGCTCTCATGCTCTATCTTTGCCCACGTGGCCCCCAGCCATGCAGACTGCACACAATAGACAGATGGACTGAATCTAACCTAATGCTACATCGAACCCCTCACTCCCATGGAATGGAAACTCTGGACACCAGTCCTATTTTAGCTCCACTAACGCCCCAGCTCCACCTTTTTCAGGACTGGGTTAAGGGCATGGGACTTTACCAACCCGAGGAATGTAAGTCCCCTTCCTGAGATTGATAAATTCGATTAAGTTGAAATTGAAGACCCAAACGCAAGAGAAAAATAATGGATAGGGCTTTCTTAAGGCAAAAGTAAGCCTTTCACTAAAGTTATATTCTGGGGTGTGACTGCCCACCATGACCTGCCCCTTTTCCCCTCTCCCACCCAACTCCTGCCCCACCCCAGGCCTTCCCCACACTATTGCCTGTGTCCTTGGGTTATGCATATATGGTCTTAGAAAACTTAACTTCTAAAAAAGAGACTTTCTGAAGTGATTTTTGAAAGGCTGAATTTGGTGCTCAGAGCTAAGGAGATAAAGCCAAGTCCTGTGCATTTCCCCCTTGGAGACATTGTTCATTGTATTGCATGTCAGCAGCCCCAGTACATGTCCAATTGCACATATAACAATGTGCAGCATCGCCAGTTACAGTCCAACCAAGGCATGCAGAGGCTTATCGCATTCACATGCAAATATATGTATACTCCATAGCCACTCTTATCCCTTGACCCGATGTAGACCTAATTTTGCAGTTTAAGTTAGTTAGTTATCTTGAACTTGTTGGCCTGCCACTAAAAATGGACAAAATGTAAAGATAAGGGTGAAACTGTAAGACTCGTGTAGTTTGGGTTAGAACGAAGCTGAAATCTAAGTTTTGAAATAAAAGTAGACCCTAAAGTCACTCATATTCTTTAGTAAGATTTTGTGTTTTGTTTTGAGGGTCATGAGTATCATTTTTGACACTGACTCACAGTGGTGTCTCAGTTGCTACGTAGTATCATGAGTGGTACTGCCTACATACTTCCTTGCCTTGTGCAGCTGTTGAGATTTCATAGGGTCTGAGCAACATCGAAGTAAGATAAGCTCTGAAGGAAAACAACAGTTATTTAAAGTGTATGCTTTTGGTTTGTGGTCTGCCCCCAGGCCTTCCATTGACCTTGCCCTGCTGGACATGCCCTTCCTTCAACTCGCTGGGGAGATGCCCTCTGACCTCTGAGAGCAGCTGGACCATGCACTCTGAAGACACCAGTAGTCCTAGTTGCGGCCCCTCATACACAGACCTGCAGTTCATCAGTGCGGAGGAGCAGATGAGTGGCAGGGCATCTAGGGCCGACTCCACAGGTAAGACGGAGCACCAAGCCACAGGGCTTTGCCAATCACTCTCCCTGACCTGTAGCCCTTTTTCAAATCTCTGTAGCCAGCTTTGTTTGTAGAATAAGGTCAAGGTTAACATCCAGTCAAAATACTAGATTCCTGAGTGATTCAAAATTGGGTTATTAGAAAAGAAAACATATACAGATTGGCTGGTTGGTTAGAAGATAATCAATATTGGGAAACCATTTGACATATATTATTATTATTATTATTATTATTATTATTATTATTATTATTATTTTATTTTTTGTAGTATTACATATGTCTCTCCCCCCCCTCCCCCATTGACCTCCACCAGGTTGCTCTCACTCCCCTGCTGTCTGTGTCCATTGGTTATGCTTATATACATACATACAAGTCCTTTGGTTGAACTCTTACCCCCACCCCCCCAGCTTTCCCTCTGAGGTTTGATGGTCTGTTCCATGCTTCTTTGTCTCTATTTTTGTTCATCAGTTTATGTTGTTCCACAAATGAGTGAGATCATGTGATATTTATCTTTCTCTGTGTGACTTATTTTGCTTAGCATAATGCTCTCCAGGTCCATCCATGCTGTTGTGAATGGTAAGAGTTTTTTCTTTTTTATAGCAGCATAATATTTCATTGTGTAGCTGTACCACAGTTTTTTAATCCACTCATCTTCTGATGGGCACTTAGGCCATTTCCAAATCTTAGCTATGGTGAATTGAGCTGCTATGAACATAAAGTGCATCTATCCTTCTGATTGGTGTTTCTGATTTCTTTGGGATATAGACCTAGAAGTGGGATCTGGGTCAAATGGGTTTCATTTTTAATTTTTGAGGAAACTCCAAACTATTTTCCACAGTGGCTGCACCAGTCTGCATTCCCAGCAGCAGTGCACGAGGGTTCTTTTTCTCCACATCCTCACCAGCCCTTGCTGTTTGTTGATTTGCTGATGATAGCTATCTTTTGAGACAGCATGAATGGAACTGGGAATTATCAAGTCGATTCAGTGAGTTTGGCATTACAATGGTACTGAAACCAAAGAAACAAGGCCTGCTTCCTCTGAGCTCCAGCACCTGGGTGAGGCCTTGGGGGACACAGACACATGCCAGCAGGAACTGGATTGTCTGGCATCAGGGCAGGAACTCAGGGTGGCTTTCTCCCAGATGCAGGAGCTCACAGGGATCATAGTTCCTATCCCGGGACTTCCCCGGTCACAGGGCTGACTTGACAGTATGTCTTAATGTGTTATTTTCCTGACGGTTTGGTACAAGTGCTGTTCTTTGTCAATTTTGGGTCTCCTTGGATAACAACTATTGGTAATATTCACAAAATTGAATCTTGCATCCTACCACCCAAGCATATTCCCTCTTCAGCAAAAGGGAGGTAGATTTAAGCAGAGAAAAAGTAAATGTTGCGTGAAGTGGAATGAGTGTCAGGACTCAGCCACTGTATCTAGACTACAAATCATTTTGCAGTTATGTTTATTCTGTTGGGCCTGAGTTGAGCTATATATGTTAGCATGCAGCATCCTGGGGTCTCATTGTTACATTTTCAGTAGGTGTAGGATGGAATGTTGGCTGGCTTCAACGGTGGTATTATGGCCCATCGGCAAGTACCATACTGCATATTAGGATTAGGATGGCATTGGAAACATGTGATGTGTTCTTGGTGTTTTGGTTGTTGGGACCAAGAGATTGTTTTCCTTTGAAAGGGATGGAGTTACTGGTAGTTTCTCTGTGGATGAAATTACCCAATGTGTCCAATAATGTTTTTTCTTCTTAAATCTTTAGGAATTTGTCTCTGAATCATTTTTCAAACTTGGGCAACATTTACCCTCATGCTGTGTACTATTGGGGGCTCTATAAAGAGAAAGGGTTCAAACATACCCAGCTTACATGGCTCAGTGGTTGAGCATTGACCATTGAACTAGGAAATCATGGTTCGATTCCCAGTGAAGGAACATGCCAGAGTTGTGGACTTGATCCCCAGTGTGGGGTGTTCAGGAGGCAGCTGATTAGTGATTTTTTCTCATTAATGTTTCTATCTCTCTATCCCTTCCTTGCTGAGTCAATACACACACACACACACACACACACACACACACACACAGAGTATATATACTAATAAAAGCCTAAGTGGTCCTTGTGCCCTCGTGCAATGCTCTTACATCATCACAAGATGGCCAGCACAAGATGGACAGCAGGGGAGGGCAGTTGTGGGGGGACCAGACTGGCAAGGGAGGGCAGTTAAGGTGACCAGGCTGGCAGGGGAGGGCAGTTGGGGGTGAGATCAGGCTGGCAGGGGAGGGTAGCTGGGGGCAACCAGACCTGCAAGGGAGGGCAGTTGGGGGCCATCAGGTTGGCAGGGGAGGGCAGTTGAGGGCAATAGGGCCAGCAGGGGAGCAGTTAGGCATCAATCAGGCCAGCAGGGGAGCAGTTTGGGGGCAATCAGGCTGGCAAGAATAAGTGGTTAGGGGCAATCAGGCAGGCAGGCAGGTGAGTGATTAGGAGCCAGCACTCCTGGATTGTGAGAGGGATGTCTAACTGTGGAATCAGGCCTAAACTGGTAGTTGGACATCCCCCAAGGGGTTCTAGATTGGAGAGAGTGCAGGCTGGGCTGAGGGACATACACCCTGCTCCCCGCCATGCATGAATTTCATGCACCAGGCCTCTAGAGTGTGTGTGTGTATGTGTGTGTGTGTGTGTGTGTGTGTGTGTGTGAGAGAGAGAGAGAGAGAGAGAGAGAGAGAGAGAGAGAGAGAGAGAGAGAGAGAGAGAGAGAGAGAGAGAAAGAGAGAGAGAAAGGGTTCAAATAGAATTTAGTTTGGTATTTGATAAATTTGCAAAGAATTCTAGTTTAACACAGTCTCTCTCTCTTTTCATAAGCTACAGTTCTTTCTAGCATTTTGTTTTCACAGACATTCCCTCAGTTTTGCTTTATCCCATGACGATCAGGTCAGTGGCTGATGATCTAGTCAGTGGCTGAAATATGCCCCCACGCCCCCCATCTCCACTGTGGGAAGCATTTCCTGGTGGCAGGGCACTATCAGGGGCTGAGGCTGTGCTTTTCCTCCTCGCTTCTCCATGCTTCCGACCTCCTTGCCAAGCCTTCCTGCAGAGGACACAGATGATGTATTGGTTCACGGACTCTGGAGTGATCCTCAAGGATGCAGTTTCTTCCCTCACCTGCCCCAGGGATCTCATGAGGTTGGAGAGGTGGAGAATGGGCTCCTCGCTGCAGGAAAAGTCAGCATGTCTGTTCAGGCTCTTTTTTCAGTGGCCTCTCTACTTAGGTGAAAATTGCTTTAATATAGGGGTGTCGAACTCAATCAGAGAAGGGGCCAAAATCTAAAATCCAGCCTAAATCGCGGGCCGAATGGTTTACTGAACAGTCATAAACTGTCATTGTGATGGAAACGCAGCGGAGTGCAGTGATGACAGCGCGGTGCGGGCCACATTGCAAGGCCTGGCGGGACGGATTTGGCCTGCGGGCCTTGTGTTTGACACATGTGCTTTAATACCTGAGGTTCCAGTGATAAAAGCAGAGCCCTAGCCTGGACTGGACATTACCATTCTGTCTCCCAAGCTTTAATGGTCTTCAGTTATTTTAAGTATCTGTTCTGACAGGGTTACAATGGGCACCGAGAAAGCCTCCGCCCTGTTGTTTCTGTCAAGGTCCTGGGAGGAAGCAGATGGATCCCTCGGAAGGGTTTATCTGATAAGAGTATAATGACAGGCTGAAACCGGTTTGGCTCAGTGGATAGAACTTCGGCCCCGCGGCCTGAAAGGTCCTGGGTTTGATTCCAGTCAAGGGCATGAACATTGGTTGCACATCCCCAGTAGGGAGGGTGTGCAGGAGGCAGCTGATGGATGTTTCTCTCTCATCGATGTTTCTAACTCTCTATCCCTCTCTCTTCCTCTCTGTAAAAAATTCAATAAAATATATATTAAAAATAAAAGTGTAATGACAGAACTGCTTACAGGGGCAGCAAGAGTTAGAATCATGGAAGAGGGGCTGCCCCACAGGGTCCAGAAACTCAAACACTTATCAAACAGCAAAGTTAACTTGGATATGCAGGCTGTTGTTAAAGTGTTGGGAAACAAGAAAAAAAATTTTTTTTGACAACCTTCCCTGGATTTACAAAGCCAGCCTTACTTTGTCTCAGGCTCTATTATACTTCTGGCTGTAAAAGGGACAGAGCCACTGTCAGAGACTTGGTGAGCTGGGGAGAGCGGGGAATCAATACTCAGATTTGTGCTGGTGCTTCCCATCAGCAGATCCAGCTGGAAGCCGAAGGGCCAGGAGACCTGGTGAGGCAGCCCACAGAGGTCAGCCCCTAGGCCACAGAGCAGGTGACAACAAGTATCAGTGGGTTTGGGGTCATGGGTGGTGGTGAGCAAATAGAGACTCGGCAACACTCTCTAATCCCCATCAGGAGGAACTAAATGGACCGGAGGCTGGGGTCATTCTACAACCACAGATGCAAAACCAGGACTCAAGAGTGATGAGTGATGCTCTCAGTTCTCTCCCAGGCTACAGGGAGGCTGGAGGTATGGCCTTGGGGCAACCACCCTCTCCTCAGAAGCAGAATAATCACAGCCAGGACTCACTGTGTACTGTGTGCCGGTTGTGTGCTATCTCTGGCCTTCACAACAATCCTGCAAGGCAGGTATCCTTGTCCCCGTTTCCTCGTTGGTTCTGAGTCTTTGGAAGTTAAGAAACTGGTCTAAGAGAATGTGACTAAGAAATAGACAAACCTGGCTGAAACCCGTTTGGCTCAGTGGATAGAGCATCGATCTTCGGACTGAAAGGTCCCAGGTTCTATTCCGGTCAAGGGCATGAACATTGGTTGCGGGCACATCCCCGGCAGGGGGTGTGCAAGAGGCAGCTGGTCGATGTTTCTCTCTCATCGATGTTTCTAACTCTATCCCTCTTCCTTCCTCTCTGTAAAAAAAATCAATAAAATATATTTAAAAAAAAAAAAAAGAAGAAAGAAATAGACA